AGTCTAAACATGGCAATCTGATAAATATTGGCTCCGCTCTCGAAACAAGTGAGCCGTGCTTGGTTGTTACCTGAGCATCTGTGATGTCATTTTCAGTTGACAGAAAGTGGCACAAGAGCCACAAACGGTTGGCTTTGAAAACTGTTTATTGGTTTGCTACGGTTCGGGCAACGGTGAAAGCTACGGAGCAAGATGGCACAAAACCAATATCACGGATTTTTTAAAAAAGTTCAAGAATACATTTTCCCTTTTTACTGCTACAGTCTGCTTACATCGGGGCCAAGCTACAATCAGACCGACCTGCAGTTGGGGAGAAAAAAAATGGGTCAGTTGGCACCCAGTTTGGAATTTGCATTGCAGTTCCCTCAAAGGACCGGACAGAAGAAGAATGTTGATTGGGCTTTTGTGAAGGTCTGCACCAAATTGTCAATTGCTGCATCATATTTTTTTTCCGTAAATTTAGTGTTGCGCTTGGATCAATAAAACGTTCCCCACCCATGGTTTAGGGATTTGGTGCCTTGCTCAAGGGCACATCTCTTCAACAAGCAATTCCAACTGTCATGCAAGCCAAGTGCTTATGTTTGAACTACAGCCAGTGATTTTCCTCCCATTTACGAACAGCGGAAACGCAGAAAATAGCTGTGTCCCAAACCGGACTGTACCGCCTGGTGGAAACGGGGCTTAAAAACAGGAGCGAGTGCGTGGCGAATTGTAGATGGCAGTCACATGACGGCTTAGCCCTCTTGCCCAGATATCTTCCCCATTGGATCATACTGTCACACTGCGCTAGCTCCAACAAGATACAGAAATAAACACAACCACATGTAGTGCCGAGAGAGAGAAAGAGTGGGGCGGAAAGATAGCGCGAGACGTTATATCCCAGAATGCCATCTATTTAAGGCCGACGCTGTGACCTAGAGGCAGCCCAAAGAGTCTTAAATCACTGCCTGCGGTGACATCTCTCACTATCGTGTCGATTCGGCCCTCGTGAAAGTCTTAGAACACACTCGTGTGCGAACACAACAGTGACCCTGTGCGAGAGCCGGCTGCCCCTCTCTTCAGTACCCCGCACCCCCACCTGTTGTTTTTTTTTTTCTGCGCCCCTCCCATCCTCCTCCTGCTCCTCCTCGCCCTTGACAGAATGTCAGCAGGCCATTATACGTTTTCAGCAGTAGACTTTTATTTTTAGATATTCTTTTGGAAAAGAGACACCGCATGGCCCACCGAGGGGTAGTGTCCGATCACATGGCGTATAAATCTGACAGCAGCCATTGTGGGTGGTGTGGGGTGCGGGGGGGGGCGTTTTTGAAGGAGGATACGCCCGCCACGAGGCTGTGTGCTGAGTGCCGTGTACAAACATAGCTTCTGTTGTGAGGCAGGGCGTGTGTTGTACTGACATGACGCGTTTCAAAAGTGTGGTCAGAGAGACCGCATGCAGGTGGACCGACTGGCTTTTTGACGTTGCACCAGTGATGCAATAACAAGCGTGATTTTCAACGTCATTTGGATGTTTGGAAAGGCACAGTGACCCCTTGAGAAGAAACTGCATCTGCATGCGTTGCAGATTTAGAGCATCATGACGAGGAGCTAGAAATTTGCAAGGGATCAGGATTCATTGTCTGAAGTTGTTTTAGTGATAATGTATTTGTTCAATTAGGCCTCAGTAAGTTTGAAATTCTGGGGTATTTTTTTTTTTGAATGATCATTTATTCTAAAATGATGATCCATGTTAAAGTTTCACTTTGCAATGACAGCTGTTTGCATATTTTTTTGTTGAAAAATAGTGCTGTGAAAAAAGATGTTTTCCTTGATGTGATGAATAATTGGGACCAATAATCATGATTACAATATCGATCAAAATAATTATGATGATCATTTTGGCCATAGTCGTGCAGCTCTAATACGAGTGAACTCAACTCAGCTCATCAGGCAGCGGTTTGGCAGATCATTCCTCAAAAAAAGAGGCTCCGAGCTGTTTATTGCCACTCCCAGTTGAAGTTTTATGTCAAACTAAACATAAAACTAAGAGAACTAGCATAAGTAATAAGAGCACTTTCCCACTGAGGGGCGAACGTTTGGGAATTATTACGAAAGTAGTGAATGAGGTGTTCTTGTTGGGGTTCATCAGGGTTCATTCCAGGTTGCAAACCTTCGCCAAACATTCGCCTGTCCTTTTTTTGTCACTAAGGAATTTTGTACATGAACGTCTGGTGACCATTTGGTCAACGTTTGCAACCTTGAATGAACCCTGACGATCCCTGACATGAACGTGCATTCACACCCTTCGCAATTACTCACAAACATTCGCCCCTCAGTGGGTTACGGGCTTTAGCCTAAGGCCAACAAACAATGCAAAATGCCATAGACGTGCTATCAATTAGGCGACCTCATAATATTTTAAGCAATAAATATTTGAACGCAAGCGGCGCATCAACAAATGTCGACAGCCAACATAACAATTGTCAAGGGAGTATATATTCTTTATCCTCTGAACTCAACAAAGTGACCCTTGGACTTATATAGCAACCGAGAACTTCATTACCCCCGACCCCTTATACCCTGATGTCTGATACTCATCCTGTGTGCCTCAAAATATCTCACAAAGGCAACTCTGCCACCTTTAAAACGCAGCATCGGTTGTGAGCTGCCATGTCAAACTGACATTACACGTTACAAAAGTGAGATCAGAAAGACCCCGTGCAGACTGACCAGCATGATAATATCGCCTCAGTGATACAATATAGTAAGATTTGCTTCAAACATTTGGAAGTTTTTCAGATACCTCAAAATTTGAATGCACTTAAGGTTCTAAAATTTTGAACTGACCAATATTTTGGGGATAATTATGCTCACAGTCCCTGCAAAGCAAAATAAATCTAAACAATAAAAATAATCATCGAATAAATAAGTCTTCAAAATTCAACACACCACAGAACACCAATAGTGCTATTGACAACCCTGCCAAATGTTAATGATTTAAAAAAAAAAAAATCTTCATCTACTTAAGATAAAGCTTTAAAAAATGTTGAGAAAAATCATGCCCGTGTCTCCGCTCACAAAGGTTGTGGGTGTGTCCACCTAGTATGCTGGAACCACGCTGCTCTCAGCTGTTGACAGTCAATCAAATGTTTTAACCGTTTTAGCCATGACCACAAAAAAAAAAAAAATACCTGAGCACAAACAGATCGCCACAATTCGGTACTGCATATAGTTCTCAGTCTTTACTTGTTTTCAGCAGTTACTTTCAAGCTTGTTTATTGTGGTGACTGACCGACAATGGGGAAACATGTCAAGTCCCTGCACTCCATCAAAGGTACAAATTCCTGGTGAATGTGTCTCTCCATTGTGGGTCACCACACAGCCACCCCCAGATTCACCATAGCAAAAGCGCTTCATCGAATCTCTCATAAGCGGTCAAAACGGCCGCTACTTGTTGTTTAAACCGTCAGTTTTGGTGTGGCGAGTAAATGGGACACAACTGTCAATCTACTGTCTCCTATTCTCATTATTTACCACATCTCCACAGGTTGTATTTAGAAACAAATCTAAATATTTACTTTACAGGGACTTGAATTATATCATAGATTGTGATAGAAGATTGTTTACATATCGCTCAGCTCTACCGTAAATGTCGCGGTGCATTTTAAGTTCATTCTGAAATTTCACGCAGATTTTTTTTGTGAGTCATGTGTAATCCGCACGTAGCAAATGACCACCATACCTGGGGTACCAGCGGCCTGTTGCTCCGAAATTCGCCGCTTGCCTTCCCCGTCCATATAGGAGCTGAGGGCCCGAGAGAAGTGCTCATCCACCACGCTGCTGATGTCCCCCTGGTAGTAGGTGAAAAGCACACAGCGCGAGCTCAGGTACTCGGCCTCGGGGCCCTCCTGCTTGTCCTTGGGGCCCTCATCGGGCCGTGAGGCCGCGGGCGTGTAAGAGGAAGATGAGGAGGCAGAAGAAGAAGATGATGATGATGACGATGCGGACGAAGATGACGAGGTCGTCGATCCGCCAACGGAGCCCTGAACGGCGGACATTCCCTCTGGAGCCCTGGGAGTGTCCATAAAATCCCGGCACAGAGGTGAGGTACTACTCACACCAGTGGGAGTCTGGCAACAAGGAAGAGAGTGGAGGCAGGTGTCATAAATATAGATTGGTAGATAGATTTATATTACCGACTGTATGTTGAAATTGATAGTGGATAGACACTGGATATAGGTTGTTTGGAATTGAAATTGGAAGGCATGATTGTAGATATGAAGATATACTGTACTATGCAAGGCTCCAAAAAATGAGCTTTGCATCACAGTTTGCCAGGCAAAATTTGCATTTTGCGTCTCATCAAAATACATTGAATAGCAAAGCTGAGAATCAACCGCCAAGACTGTCCTGAGAAGCTTGGCTGTGCCGGACTCGCACACATCGCTCACCTCACCTGCCACGGGGAGTCGGAGTGTGTGGCAAGCTGGCAACGAGCTTCTGCTTGCTAATAGTATGACGAAACACCAAGCTAATTTTCTGACAATGATCGTTCTCATGAAGGAGTAACGAGGAAAGACTGACAGGTCATGCTAATTACTAATAAAACCCAAGATTTAAATGGAATCCTGAGACACTGGAATTGAGTGATTGAGTAGCCCTGCAAATTGGCTGACAACCAGTTCAGGGTGTACCCCGCCTACTGCCTGAAGTCAGCTAGGGTAGGCTCCAGCGTGCCCGCGACCCTTTTGAGGAAAAGTGGCTCAGATATTGGATGGCGAGATGCCTGGATGGATGGATGGAGTGATCGACTACACTTTTCACAAGAGGTCTGGCTCTAACTCAACTGTATTTATAGAGCACTTTAAAACAACCACCGCTGTATACAAAGTGCTATACATGGAGCAAAAAGAGCAGGCAATTAAAAAGTGTCTTCTTAACTATGCTACACAGCTAACAGGACCAAAACCAGAAATTAATTCTATTTTACGTCAGCCAGGTAGTGCAGCCTATAAGATGAAAAATATTATTTTAGTTTAAAATAATTTTAATATCAGTTGTTAGTTGACGTTATTTGTCTGTTTTGACAATCGTATCTTGAGTTTTGATTTGGGAATTTTGAGGTCTGCGCAGCAAACACAGCAAGGTATCTTTTGAGCTTTGCTAAAACACCATACAACCCAATCACAAATACGAAGTTTAAACTGAAATTTATAGTTGTGTTTGAAATTGCTGCACTGAAAATATAGTTCGCTGCTGTACACGATGTGAATTGAAGAAAATCAAACAGTTGATTTTACATCAAAGAAAACCAATTGTTCATTTGTCATATTGTCGCGTTTTTATTGTTTCATAATAATACCTTTGCTTCGGGTCGCTGAGATTAACCTGCAAAAAAAATGTTTCCTCATAATTAGGGAGTTGCTCCTCAAATCAAGTCGACGATTAGATGCGGATGAAGATGCAGATGTTCATATAAATGATGATTTAAGTACAGATACGTAGCTCAATATATAACATCGAGATATGTTTGTATAATCCTGACATTTTTTTTCTAACATGGTTTTGATTCCAAAGTGTATTTTATTAATACTCAACATTGTTCTCAGGGTCACCTGCAAAACAAGATTTGAAACTTGGGAGGAAAAAAAATTTTGAATCCTCAATACAATCCAGCCTGAAAATACAATAGAGATAAATCACTGACATTTTATAATGATAATAATAATCATAATAAAATAACAAAATGTGTCCTACCTGTAGTGTGTTGATGAAAGCAGGAGCTGCGTATGAGGCGTAATGTCCATAGGCTGGGTACATAACATCCAAACAGCTCATGGTAAATGAGCGCAGTCTTCTTCACTCTTGTGCTGAGTGCCACTTTTCCCAGCAAGACGGCGACAGCATTCCACTTTGCGTGCGTCTGTGTGCGTGTGTGCAGGCCGGCGAGGCAACCCGAGTAGACGGCGGTGGAGCAGAGAGCAGCAGCAGCAGCAGCAGCAGCCTGAATGGACATGAAGTCACCGCACAAGGAGCACCCTTAAGTGTGTGCAAATGCGTGTGGGTGTGTGCGGGTGCCGCAACAGCTGCGGCAGCGAAATGTGTTGGGTGCTGAGGGTAAGTAGGACTGCCCTGTACATCTCTGTGTCAACTCCTCCCACTTGGTGGACCACCAACCAACCACCGCCACTGATCCGATCCCATTACAAATACCTTGTCCTCATCTTTAATATGGACTGTAATGTCAATTGGTTATGATAACAGTGTGAAATCCAGTATGCAAATTCACCCGTCAACAAATGATACTTACTTTTTAAAGCAGGCGTCATAGTAGACTTCTCCAGATTCATTTTTTGCGCTTCTGAGAATCTTTTTTTTTTCATCATAATAAGGAATGCATAAACACTTATCTATTCATTAAAAATGGAAGTGTTTTCAACAAATGTCTTCAATTCCATCCACCCATCTTCTCTACCGCTCATCCTCACAAGGGCCACAGGTGTGCTGATGTCTTCCACCTGAGTGATCGGGCACACCCTGGACTGGAAAAATGGATAGAAAGCAACCATTCACACTCACACTCACACACAAGGATGATTTTGACTCTTCATTGAACCTAACATGCAGGTTTCTAGATTGTGAGCGGAAATCTACTTATGCAAAGTCCACATAGGAAGGTTGTAGCCCAGACTCAAACCGTCAGCCTCAGAACTGTAAGCCGGATGTGTATATTGTTGTTGTTTTGTTTTGGGAAGCTGTTTTTGAGAGCACTCCTGCCTGGCCTGCCTGCCTCCCTTCAATTAGGTCCTCCTGAGTTAGACGATTGTAGCCCAAACTCGACCAGGCGAACCGCTTATCATGACATTTCGAGAGTAATTGAAACTTCAAGTCAATTGATGTAAATGTTCCCTTTGAACCAATGAACGGAATAACGATCATGACGTTAAAGACTGTCTGCCTTTTTGTCCCTATCTTCTCTGCAATCCTGAACTGGATTAACACAAAGAAAATGGTTGGATGGACGGTTAAGGGTGACGTCCACGTTTTATCAGCCAGGCTCCAGTCTTTATACGTGTGACCCTGAAGAGAATTTTAGCAAAGGGAAGTAGTGTTACATGCTTCACTAGGAACACCTGCACGTTTTGGTAAAAGCATTTTCTCCCTTTTCTTTATGTTGAGGAAATTGAACAACTATATTGTCATGTTTAACATTGGGCTAAATGAATATTTAAATTTTAGTCCCCAAAAAATCTGGTTAAATTAATCGGAATTTATAGCTGTCATTTCAGCTATTTTAGGTTATTAATGAATAGAAAACATCCTCACTTTTTACAAGGCAGTATTAATACTAGCACAACACTGATTATGACAGGGACTGCACGGATCAAGCCCTTTATTTCCTTCCGTGTACCCTGGCCACTTTGCGCTGTGTTCAAGCTGAAAGTGTATCCACACTCTTAAAACAGCCATCGGTTGCCAGGTAAACCTTTGAGCCATCTCAAGTATTTAGTGTGTTCCCAGAACAGCACGTAGGTGTCAACTATAGGTTGCATACACTGCTTGTACTGTACCGATACAGAAGGCAAAGGCACTCTGCGCTAATCTGCGGCAAATTATAACCCATTAGCAGCACACATTAAATCAGTTTGACCACACACACACACACACACACACACACACACACACACACACACACACACACACACGTACCTGTGTTATGTCAGTGTCGAAATGTATTGCTCAGTTATAGAAATATCATAAAGAAAGCAAGCAGCAGATTTTTTTTTTGTTGTTGTTGAAAGCGCAGCTTTATTAGATAGAGGTCTATCTCCCTTGTTTTAACACTGCTGCTTGGGCACGCCAGTCTATTTGACAGGCACTTTAGAATGCCTCGGAGAACAGTGCGGAAAATGTGCAGAATTCCATGGACAAGTGTCAGATGAGGTGGAATGTCTCTGATGTATGCCAGTGGACAAGCTTCCTTGGGAAGTTACATCGTCCCCCTGCTTGCTTTCCCCGCACTGGAGAACATAACCAACATCTCGCTATGTCCGCGACATGGATTGTATGAATAGCTGGTAGCAGGTTGTCACCACGTTAAGGGAGCAGAATGTCCTCCCAAGACAAATCGTGCACCCAAATCCGATTTTGCTGCGCGTGGTTACAACAGCTAAGGTTTGCTAACCTTAGCCTCATGTACTAAAGGGGCTCCATATAAGTGCAGACTAAGTGCGAGCATGGCGCTGAAGTCAGGCGGCGTGATGCAATGCTGAAACTCTCAGTGTTGCACCAGCGTGATCAACAGCTGCGGCTGACGGAAGACAAGAGACACCACTAATAGTATTCATGGCAATGACCGTATTACTCACTGTCGCGCTCACTGCCATTTCCTGGCCTCGTCCTTGTTACCAACAAGCTCTGTGTCTGAATGGTCAGTCTTTTCATCCACAAGACACCTTTCCCTAATGTGTTTGCATCTCTGCTGTTTGTTATCAAAAGATCCCAAACCACAATGGCACTTATTAGTGACGGGACAATGAAGCTTCAAAATTGCTTCATGAAGCAGTTGTTATATTTTCACTCCTCTAGATGGCACTAGTGGTTTAAATAAAAGGCTTTAAGAAGTGGCAAGTCAGTGTACTTTCAGCCCAATGTCGAACAGAGATTGCCAGAGGAGTCAAAATATATAACTGGTTAATGCAGCAAATGTGAACCTTCATTTTTCCATTACTCGTACTTAGCAAGATCGATCCATCCATGCTCAGTTATCACCGTGCTTTTTAATTTATTTTGTTGCTTTTTTTGTATTTCGGGCCTCTGTGCGTTTTTTTAGACAAATATTTCCTGTCGTCATTTCTTTACTACAGCATTGGTTCCAGTGCCTTCCGATTTCCAACAGATGCAGCTGTTCCGTTTACGGTCTAGGCCTGTGTAAAGAACCAACCCTTGAACAAAAGTGACAAAATTATAGCTTGCCGTATTTGTCTGTTCGTGTCTGTGTATTTGTACGTCATCACACTACTTTCTGAGTCATGGAGATTTCGTTTAGTTTAGTTATCCGTTTGTTAGCTGGCTGGCTGCTCTGTTTCTTGTTCATGGAGAATGGCATATGACAATTTCAATTGATGGACGGGGTTCTTCTATTTGCATTCTGGGGCAAGGTGAACATTTCGAACTAAAAACAGCCCTTGGACAAAAGTGAAAAAAATAGAGTGCCGTATTTGTTCTTGTTTGTCCTTTTGTCAATTGCCATGCTACTTTCTAGTTCATGGAGATGGACATTCGGAAAAATATTAGGCTGATGTAGAAAGACTGTTCCATCCTGAACAAAACGACAACAAAATAAAATGACAGTCAGTTCTTATATGTAAATTTTACAAAAACTAAGGAACGTCATTTCGTTAGCCTGTTAATCCATTTGTTAGAGAGTACGTTACCAGTTCCTGGAGAAGACGTTAAATGTTTTGAGTCTACCATTGCCCTCCTGCATTTGGGGGAAATGTGACTCCAATGGGAAAAAGGAAAAACAATGCACAAAAAAGTATTTGGGGTGGTGGGGGTGTTTGTTTGTTTGCCTGTTTGTTCATGAGCAAGCAACTTTTGTTCAGAATATTCAGAATGGCAGATAGAAGTCTTCCATTTGCATTCTGGGCTGGGGAGGGGGGAATGGATCCAACGATTGCAAAAAGAAAATTACTGCTGGCTTCAATTTTGTTTGGATTTACAAAATGTTATCCTTTCTTCATACGACCCCCTCCTCCATAAGGTTTAGTGGAAATCATCGGCGTACTTGTTGCATGATTCTGCTATAACTTATCAAAACAATGACTTTGGCCTTTAGTTGAGATAATTTTATCTACAGTTATTGCAGGTAAAGAACGCTATGTTCAACGGTCTGGCGGAGTGTGTGCTCACTTGCGTGTGTCTACATTTACACCTATATGCTGAAAATAAACAGAGGTTACATCACTCCCTCTGACCCCGGCCGCACATCTTGGCCCCGCCCCTCTTAAAAGTAGTCTGAACGAACAAACGCTCCCATTGGCTGACGAGTCGCAGGCCAGCTGACACATTAATGGCAACCCAGTTTTATTTAGACCTCCATTTTCATTACGACACCGCCATCAATAGTTTAGAATAGAAATGCCGGACGGTGTCAAATACATAGTCAGTTATAGAGACTTTACAAGCATCATAACAATACTGTAAATCCAAAGTCAAAATAACACTAATGTCTAGTGCACTGCAGAGATGAGTTTGCAAGAGAGCTGAACTCGAAACCGAACAGCTAGCTCCTGAAACAACAAGGCCTTTATTAAGGTCTCAGTCCGGCTTAGTCTCAAGGGGGTCAGACGTTGGGATTCTACTGCGTTTTGTGTGTGTGTGTGTGTGTGTGTGTGTGTATATATGTCCAAGACCGAGATGTACAGCTGCCCGCTTCCACACAAACTCATTTCAGCTGTTCAAAATCATCTCCGCAGTGTCATCGGAAACACACACATGCGGGACCACCACATATGGACAGGTCTGGCCTCTCTCATGGTTATACGCAAATGTTGGTGATAAATCCTCCATGATGTGCAAGTGTGTGGGTATTTTCTTCCCAAGACAACTTCACCATTGTCCACACAGACTGACATGCGGAACATTGGGAAGTCAGGGGCTTCAATGAAAGAAAAAGAAAAAAAACTAAAGAAGTGTGTGACTGTAATTTTGTTGCATGCTTTAAGTATAACGTGCATTTCAGAGGACTGGTGGATGGATGGGGTCCATGTTGTTAATTATAAACGCCACGCATTGAACTAACATAGAATGACTCCTCTTTCACAAAAGGAGTCTTTCAATCTTGTTGTAAAGACTTCTCCGGAAAGGATTTCTGCGTTTCTTATTTTTTTGTTTGTTTTGTTTTAATTCTTCTGATAATTAAGCATATAATGGAAAGAAGGAAAAGTGTGCCGACGACCATGGAATCAGAATTAGAAATTACGGCAATTAGTGCTCTGGCTGCTCACTACAATATGGCTAAAGCAGCAAGAATAATAAAAGAGGGCCAGGGAATTATAAAATGCAGAGTTTAGTCACAAGTCTTTTTCACACAGAGATTTTGCAAAATGACTTCCGAAGACCCGTAACGGAACATCCGCTGTGATTGCCTGTATCGTTTACATCGAAACAGGATATTGCTGCAACTCTTCCACACAGGCAGTGCCGCACCGCTGTCCCAGGCTGTAATATGCCTCTCGCCCAAAGTTGGCTAGTATCTTCCCCAGCTCACGTACATGCTCTCTGTCTCGTAAGAGCACTGAGTGAAGATGGAGACTTCTACGTGGGTCTCACACGCAAGAATGTGGTTAACTTCTCCATTCAATTTGATAGCTTTTGTATAATTCTGTTACCTAATTATCTCATTTTTTTTCCCCCGTGTACTCTTTGCAAGTAAAAGAAGCTAAGGACACAGACGAGACACACAGTCCTTTTTAAACACCCGGAAAGCTTGCAGTTTATTAAAGACTAACCCTTTGAAACGAACAGAATGTGAATTAACAGCATCCTCGGGGAGGCTGACAAGTGCCACATTCCTGACATCTCCTAACCAAAAGTGTACTGCCGCCAAAGCGGAGTTGGGTCACTCCAGTCATGCACGCACACAATCGCAAATTCACACAAACGCGCACCAGGATATCATGGCTACACGACCAAGGGGGGAAACATATTCAGGCGCATGGACGACATGCACAGAAAGAGCAATCGAGACATGTGGAATTGTCGCCCTCCCGCCTGACATTTGTGCTCCGTGTGCCAGGGGGATCGGGGTGGGGTTGGGTGAGTTGACGGAGATTCGGCATGTCACATGGTCAAAAGAGGGAAGATTTACGACAGATCAGGTTCCGCATGGGCAGCATGGTGTTGTGGCCTCAGAATGCTCGGTATGGCAGTGAGATCAGACTCCGGCTTTAGTTTGCACACGCTTTCTGGCAACTGGCTAAGGATATGAATGGCCAAAGTGGTCTGTCCGGCTCTGTCAATGCAATCGCTGGTGGGCAGATGTGGCCGCAAAAACAACACAATACTCGGAAAAGTGACTCCAATTCGAGGTGAAAAGACAATGCAGATTGGCTTATCATGTAAAAAGCCATCTATCTGGCACAAATTGCCAAATAATAACTACTTTCAGGCAACGATCTTGCAAAAATTATATATCAAAGCTGTAAAAAATATTGGGCACTATTTGTATAAACAGCCCACTTGCGCCGTGGCACAATACTGGCCTACCCCGATTTTTGTGTCATCAGACCAGTCTCCGGAAAGCATTCTGGCACAGTGAGGGTGTGTCCTTTGAGATGTAACTGGCAGAATATGTTTTTGGGTGACAGAAAGTCATTCGAAGACCACGTTTAAATACTGGGGCAGCTTGTTAATTTCGATGGAATTTGATCAGGGCACAGGGAGGAGACAGATTCTGAGCTCTGTGTGGTACATGTCAGGTAGATGTCAGATGTATTTCATTTTATGTGAGAAGCCAGCATCCAACCTTATGGACCTCTGCGTTATATTTATTAAATACTGCCACTTGGGCATCACAACTAGGGGGGGGGATAGCGACATGAACGATCTGTGGTGGGGGTCGGTCTTTAAGTGCTCATCTCCCGGCGCAGATCTGCTTCTGCCATGTGGAGACTGGAGCGTGTGTGACGATTGCACAGCTTTTGATGAAAGGAGCCACTTTGATTGGTGGCGATTGAAATAGGCGGTGACTACTCCCACAGCGGCGCAGCCCTCCCTCTTACATGCCCTCATCTGCGAAAGTGGGTCTAACCCGCCTCTGCGCAGAGATACACTGCATCCACACCGAATTTACGCTCATCACGAAAATAGAGCTCCTGGTATTTATTCGATTATGCTTTTTTAATCAAACCTAGCAGAATGGGATAATTCTGCCACTACGTGACAGTTCACTCACGGCTCTCGGTTTGGTAATGATGAACTTCACGACTAATTGGCCCACGCTGTCTATTAGAGGCGACAACGCTATGCAAGTATGAATATTAAAAAAAATATATATATATATATGTGATTTATTTAGTTCTCCTAAGCTATGGTTTGCTCCTGGGTGACATCATGGAGCCGTGCAGTTATTTTTATTGGCTGGTGGCAATCCCGCTCTTCTCTGGGCCATGCCACCTGTCCCACTCCACAGCAGGCTGGCAGGCAGCTGCCCTCTAGGGAGGGAGCACAAGTCGAGCACTCAAAAGTGATTGAGAGTTGAAAGGATGAATATGATACATGCATGTCGTGCTCGTGCTTCTTAGTATGTTCATGAGTCCTAACGTCTTGCTGCTGCTAATAGCAGCAGCAAATTTTGTCGTTCCTCTTTTCCTAAACAAAACCAATAGCCCCACCTGTTATACAATGTAATTTTCAAACGCTTGTTCACTCTTGCAAGGGGGGGGGTTGAAGCGTGTTTATGTGACTCTAAGGGTGGGGTTATTCCTGGCCCGTGTCATGTGTTCTTAGGTGCAATTTAGTCGCATGCCATCTGACCAACCTTTGGCCTCGAGCAACGCTTAATACAGAAGCTACCAGGGGGATAAAGTAACATTACAGCAACAACATTTTGTTCCACATTTCGCCTTTGATGATGCCGGTGACACAGCAGCATAATTCATATCATTTTGTGACCGACATCAATATGGATTGTGGTACCTTAATTTATGCGTGACCCAGCTTTACAACTTTTCAAGATACGGGTTATTTGAGGAGGTAGGGAACAAGCAAAAGCAATACTTCTTCAAAACAGAGGCTAAGTGCAAGCACACAATTTTTAACAAAAAGAATAAAGTGTTGTCTGCTCAAGCAAATCAAACCTTTCCCTTATAAAAGTCTGCTCACGTAATACTAACACATACTGCAAAATGCAATAAAAGGTGTTTAAAAATGTGTTTTGAGTTATATTGCAACTGTCTTCTTCTGTGTTTTTTCTGTCATATCTACATTTGGTTTGTCTGCATAAAATATGCTGCCCCCTGGTGGCCAAGGCGCACACACCAGACACCCAATGCCCATTACTGGACAGTCACCTCATGTGGGTGAAGAAATGAGGCAGGGTGTGGCCAGTTTTCTATTTGTGACAACGATGTACATGTTGCTGGTGCTTTTTGCTCTCTCAAACACCAGCTGAACAACTATGGGCCTTTTATTTGATGGAGCCTTGTGCGCCTGTGATCTGAAATGAAGGTTCGCAGGGGGGATGAATTCTCACATATTGCCGCGGAGGCACAAAATTCTAGGCTGAGTTTTAAAGTACCCTTGTCAGCTCACTGAATATGATACTTTTACAGGGAGTGGCATGTACAAATAAGCAACACAGATTTTTGTATTTTTTATTTTGTTTTTATTATCTTTATCTCGTTTAGTGGCTGAAATAAATCAATGTGCATTTTGATTAATTATTATATGTACAATTTGTCATGAAAAAGGCCATATGTACAGTGCTGCAGTGGCAGACACAGTGACTGATTTGTGGTGGCCTGGCACGTCCATCGCCCACCGACATTGTCTGATTCAACATTTGCTTATTAGCCATAACATGAATGACTGTTAATCTACACCCGCACTGTGGGAGTCAAAGATGAAGAACAAAACGAAGTGAACCATGACATGCCGTATGTACTACCATCATAATGAGGAGTAGTGTTCCACCTTGTGGAAAGGACGTGCCATTACAATAAATGTTTTTGGGTTTACCTAATGAGGTGTCTGATTAGTTTCAGGTTGGCTTTAAATGAATAGAACACAAAGACAACAATCCCACAAACCTCATATGACATATACAGTCCCTAAGGTTTAGTATTTTTTTGCAATTACGTGCTACAATGTTACTTGACAGTTTCTGAGTAAATTAACTTGCCCTGAGACCAAATCTAAAAAAAAAAACTAAGAGAAACCAATGTTTTAAAATAGTTCTTAAAATGTCAAATAAGTCTAGAAATTGCATTTCAAGGGGTACGCTAGACTCTGGAGTACTCCTTAAAATGCCATTTTCTCTTGTCCCACCCATTACCCCTCAATGACCAAATAGCACATTTTTCGACCTTGAATAAAAAGGGGCCGTTCTTTTTTTTGTTTGATATTTTAAAATGGTATATTAAAAAGTGTAAAATACAATATTGTTTTGCAGAATCTTCCAAAGAGGGCCATCTTGGCATAAAGACCCCTACTGTACTAGTTCTTCCGCGACTATAGGGGGCGCTCGCCTGTTGTTTCTTAACGTCATCTGCAGGCTGACGAGGCCGTCCAGCCATGTTGAGAAGTCTGTCAAGCAAAGTGCAGCCCGCCATTGTGTAGACACCAAGCAGGCTGTGTAGGGAGATAGGGGCGCTCGGCTCAACACTTCATCCGTCGCGACGCGAAATTCTCCAGCCTGCCGCTCGTAATATATTTAGGCACTCAGCCGGGGGGAATAAAACAAAGACATGTCAGCTAGCAGCCTCCTCGAACAGGTAAAGAGAGGTATTTTCTGAAGCAAATTGTCAGCATCGCGCGGCGGCTACGGCTAGTGAGTGATAGCTTAGCTTCGAGAGGCAAAAAGCGGCTGTGGCTAAGTAGTGCAGCAGTAGGCCTTGACCACCTGCTAAACGGAACTGACTGCACAGCCTAGTATCTGTTCATCAATTTTTCCCCTTCCTCTTTCCTCATAAATCAAACCTTCATGAATCACCTGGACCCAATCCAGAGACCGAAAGGCCAAGCAAATAAAGGTAAGAGCCTCCCTTCGCTTCCGATCACTTATTTGGCACTTGAAAGCTCGGGTTAACGTGTGCTGGTCGCTTTGAAGCGCCGTAGCCACTGATTGTCGTCCAACACGCCTGCCATGTACGTCGGGAGTGCTAAATGAGGCCTACGGTGAGTCGACTGTAACGCGGGTCCCCACGTTTAAGCCCGAAAGTTGGTTACATGATGCCCATCCGGATCCCCCCTTTTCCTCGCTAACCCGCTTTGTATCGCGATGACACGTGTGCGAGGGAATAGTCCCCCCACACGGTCCCCATCCCGTAGCTCACTTTTCGGACATTGAGCTTGTTTGAAAATGTCCGGCAGACTATCTGGTAGCCCGCCGGCTGGGGGAAGTTCATGTGGAAAGCAGCCTTGGCGCTCATTCTGGACACTTGTTTGCTTAGCCTGCTAGCCGCTAGCTGGTTGCTAGGTTAACCCCGAATGACACGTCTTCCGGACATGGTCTTCAAGGAGCACTTTTAGATCGTGAGATAAAAAAGATGGACATTTTATTCATCCCCCAAGGGAAATTAAAATGCTACAGCAGCACTACTCACACGCATAAACTCGTATTTATCCATCAGAAACAACTAACAAAGTCCAAACAAGAGCAGCATTGGGGAGCAATTAAAAGACATTGAAATCTAATCGGTTCAACATTAACAGTGGCACGGTAGCCCGCGGCCACTGCTTGAATGTGGGAGGCTTGACTGAGCCTGGGCAGATTTTCTAAACAAGGGGGGGGAAAAAAAACCAACATTTTCTTAGCATGTATTTTTCAGTATTTTGAGTTTTCAAAATTATCATTGGATAAAATAGCAGAGCTTTTAAAAATGTATGAGAAGCACGCACCTCACCGGTCAATTTAATTGAATGCACTGGTGAAGCACTATCCTATTTCGGTCGCAAGGCATGTCTATGTTGACTGCCACTATCTTTTTGTTTCATTAATAAAAAGTCATACCGTGTAACATATTGCATAGGGACACTCAAAACGCAATCCAGGCTGGCATAGTTCATATTGCTGGGAGTTTACACAGCCCATCACGATGTAATGTATTAATGTATAGACAACCAACATCATGTGCGGGGCTGAAGATCTATCCACTTTCTGAACCGCTTATTGTTACCACGGTCGTGCATGGACAAATTGGTACAGAACACACAAGTTGATGACGTTAAAACACACATTTATCATTAAACACCGTTGCAGTACAGTGTGAGTTTTAATTTTTTTTTAAATTTCATGACTGATTTAGTCAGTGTTTGTAAGACCAGGTTTCCTGCAGATGCTTCAAGTCTAAAACTTGTTTTTTCTTCATGCATGTACATGCACAACTTTTGCTGGCTTTTCTACTCGACGGCGCTTGCCCCCTGCTGTCACTCAATATTTTCCCAGATTATTGGAGTCTGTCAGTTTGACACCCGATGCCTATGGCATGTTTTAGTTTTGTTTTTCAAATAAACTATCAATAACAGTTTGGGGGTAGCACTCTACATTCATTGAACAAAACAAATCAAAACAAAGAATTGAGATGTAGCAAACACTTATTTTGTAACAGCTTTTGCTTGTCCGCTATGTTTTTTTACACAGACTGTCTGCACGGGTCACAAATTTTCATAGATGTGTGGTGCGGAAAATGTGGGCAATGTGGACGACGTGCAGAGGAGTTTGGTTACTGAAATGGCGTAATTTCTTTTTTTCATGTAGCCATGGAGACGCGTCAGCATAAACGAAGTTGAAAAAGGCACTCACTCCAGGAGTCTAACAAGACGTTAGATGTTTTGACTTTTAAAAGTCTTACATTTATGGTTTTATGATTGTTAATGGTCTTAAATCTCAACATCAAGTATCAGTAAATAATTTCCTGAATGAATTGCGGTACCGCGCGACTACGGTAGCGGAACCAACAACACAGTGGCGGTTTTCGTCGGGTCTCTTGTGGGCAGAGGCATGTTATTTATAGGGCCTAACTTTGGACAACATGGGACATTGGGATCATTCTGAAGTTGGAATTACATTTTAATTTTGAATGTAATTGCATTTAACGTGCCTGAAGATGTAAGAACCCCACGTAAAGAAAGATCCAAGCCAGCAAATGTCAAATCTTCAGTTTGATTTTATAGTCCCAGAAACCCGGAACATGCAAGAGAAACGGGAATGAGACAGAAGTAATATTTTCTAAGGGTTTAAATGATGTGGCATCAAGACGCGAAATATGAAAAAATCATCGAAACCTATCGTATTATGTCGTGAATATGCAGGGTTAGTGGCAGGGCAACCACAATTTGGCTCATGGTGGCCCAGCCCGACAGGGCCACCGCTCAAGAAGGCTTCATGTAGGACCCTGCAAATAAAAAAGCAGGAAGACAAATGACCCTGAATATTCAGTTGCTTGAATGTTGAAATATGGCAAGTCATAAATAAAGTGCGGTCATTTTGTGCCAGGTGTTGACTATGATTTAACACCATTGTCATTTACGATTCTTGATTATCCCATCCATTCATTTTCCTTACCGCTCATCTTCATTTGGGCCAGCTGACCGGTGCCTCTCCCGGCGATGTACGCCCTGGGCTCGTCTGCAGCCAGTCGCGTGGCCTGTTTTAGGCAACCGTTCACACTAACACGTACACAGAATTGAGAGCAGGGATGGGCAATTAATTTTCCAAAGTTGTCATGTTAGAAACTGGTTGACGAGCGCCACGCCAGCATGCCAATGTCAATTGTGTTCCATATTCATTTAATGTTTATTAGAAGCATTAAATTGTATTGTTTCATGGAGATGTGACTTGTGTTGTTTTAGCAGGGTTCGCCGTGGATGCTAAAACGGTCGTAAAAGGCATCAAAACTTGTGAACTAAGTCTTAAGAATGGAACTTAAAAATTGGGGATTTAACTTGCCTTGACGTTTGGAAAACTGCATAATTTCAAAATAACAATGGTCAACAAACTTATAAGCAGTCAATACAATTGCTTGACCATTACCACTCTAGTTACTCACCCAAAAAGAATCCACAATGTGCACTTTTTTTTTTTTTCTCTGTATTTTTAAAGCAGAGAGTGGCGTCACTAATACCGCCTGGCGAACACGGACACCTTTTCTTAAGAGCTGGGTGACTTTTTAGGGCAGTAAAGAAAGCACAAAAATATGTAGTGAGGCATAAATGGATCTATTTTCGGCACATTGAAAAATTTGCCACTAAGCATACATAATCAGCAATTATTTTGCTTATTATTAACGATGAATGCACCTGAAATGTTCTATATTTAGATGATATGTGATGGGCCCCTACTTTTGCTGTTCTTTCGATGAACAGATCTGGTGCTGATCAGAAGATAACCAATTCCATGTGGGGGGGTTTCTTCTTTTTTTTTTTTGCTCTAGATGCCCTAATTCATTCCAGTCGTCACATTACTAATGCTAATATTAACAATGTCACTTAGATGCTTAAATGTTGATATTTACCTCTGTTTTATTTGCAGTACAAAACGGAGCTGTGACCCAAAAGGATTCCTTGAATGATGATGAGTTTGAGCCTTACCTGAACACTCAGGCCAGACAGGTAAGCGTTGCCTCTCCTTGTTGAGCTTTGATAGCTCATTTACGAAACTTGAGTGCTCGGAAACGCACATTGTGTAGCTTCGGATAATCTAACGCAGGGGTCCCCAACCGCCGGTCCGCGGACCGGTACCGGTCCGCAGGGCCTTTGGTACCGGGCCGCACAGAAAGAACTTGCCTTAATTCCGTTTTATTTCAGAATACGAAACATGTTTTATTTTGAAAAATTACCGGATTCTCCGTTACATCCGTCTGTGTCACGCTTGACACACGTCAAACCACGCTTCTCCATCACGTGACCGATTACTTCAAAACAAAACGCAGAAGCTCGCAAAATGAGTAAAAAAACTGCTTGAGATCGCAAATCACAGCGGCCTTAAAAGTACGTTCGAGAACAAAATTACGAAGTAGACTGGACATAAACCACACACTTGAGGTGTCATTGTCTCCTATTACCCCGAGATGGGACTGTCTGATTGCAGAAAATCAAGCTCGGGGCTGTGGTGAGTCGTCATTTTCATGCACTTTGAATTTGCGTTGTATCGTATTTTGAAGGCATTAAACATTACCAGAGCGATAAGAGTGTTGCGACCAGATTAGACGCTCCTTGTGTTTATTATTATATTTCGAAAACACCACAGTTTTCATGCAGCTCATACCATATTATTTTGTTGTATTAATTCCGCCACACCTTAAATGCCGGTCCCTGAAAATATTGTCTGACTTAAACCGGTCCGTGGGGCAAAAAAGGTTGGGGACCCCTGATCTAACGTCACACCTCGCATGTGGGAAGCTGACGCTGCACAACAATGGCAGTTCCTTTTGCAAATGTAAATCATCAAAAGATTTTCGGAACTCCTGCATTTCCTCCAGTCATAGTTTACTATTTATTTGCAATGATATTGGACACATTATACCAATACAGTGGTACCCTGACTTTAGGACTGACTCCCAGCCCCCATATTTCCAGTTAGAATCTACTGCTCAGCAATTTTTTAAATTATTATATACCGAGTTACGAGCAGAAAATTTGCAATATGGGCTTTTGAGGGTGACAGTGAACTTTAAAACAAGCAGCAGTTTACACATACATTTTGATACGAGTATGACAGATCGCTGCCTCTGCATTTCCTTTCTTTAGTAACTTCATTATATACTGTACATGTTGATAATTGCATAATTGGTGGATAGCAATACAGTATTCCAACCGCTTCAGTTCATGGTAAATGACATGCTTGTCTGTATTGTCAGAATTTATTTAGATCCCCCCCCTTCGCTATTGACTGTGGAAGTATTTGAGGTGGAATATCTTGCACTTCCCAGAACTTTTGATTGCAGGACTCAAATTCAAATGAGGTGGTGTAAGGAACCCATTGAAGTTTTTATTTGCAGGTAACCTAAGGGTGGGGTGGAGACACATTTCATTGACATTAATGGTTACTAATCAGCCTTCTGCATTTTAAAGATGCTCTAAATTTTAGGTTTGGGTTGTATTGCATTTATTGGCCTTGGATTATTGGTCTCTTAAACTATTCTCAATAGGGTTGTGGGGTGGGGGGGGGCGCCTCAGTATTGCGCGTTAACATGGTTTTTATTTTTTGTCTATAGTTGTTGAGGTATGAATTTCACTAGTGTTGTAGGTACAGTACATTTGATTTGTGCGGCAAGTCCTCACACAGTAGCAAATGAAATGTTGCTCTGACTAAAACACCTTTGTCTCCCCGTAGAGCAATGCCTATACGGCCATGTCGGACTCCTACATGCCCAGCTATTACAGCCCCTCCATAGGATTTTCCTACTCCCTAAATGAGGCAGCGTGGTCTACCGGCGGGGACCCTCCTATGCCTTACCTGGCCTCCTATGGACAGCTAAGCAACGGGGAGCCCCACTACCTCCCAGATGCCATGTTCGGGCAGCCGGGCCCCTTGGGAAGCAACCCTTTCTTGGGCCAGCACGGTTTCAACTTCTTCCCCAGCGGCATCGACTTCTCGGCATGGGGGAACAGCAGCTCTCAGGGACAGTCGGGTACGCCGCAGAGCTCCGGCTACAGCAGCAGCTATGCGTATGCTCCCAGTTCCCTGGGAGGGGCCATGATTGACGGACAGTCCCCTTTTGCATCCGCTGCCAACGAACCCCTAAACAAGGCGCCCGGTATGAACAGCCTGGACCAGGGCATGGCCGGCTTAAAGATCGGGGCAGTGTCTCCCGGGGGCAACGGGGACATGGCTCCGAAGGTGGTGGGCTCTGGCTTACCGGGAGGGGGTCCTCTGGGACCCGTGTCTTCTGTAGGACCCCCCAGCATGCCGCCCGTCTCGATCACCCCCGCCAAGCCTGCCTCCTGGGCGGACATCGCCAGCAAGCCAGCCAAGCCTCAGCCCAAGCTGAAAACCAAGGGTGGCATGGCTGGGGCGTTTTTGCCGCCTCCGCCCATTAAACACAACATGGACATCGGCACGTGGGACAACAAAGGCACCGTGCCAAAAGCGGTCACGCCTCAGCAGGTGCTCCCAATTCCGAGCAATGGGCAGCAACCCAATCAGGCGTCCCCCCAGCCTGGAAGTACGGCGGCAGGGAACCCACAGATGCCCCTGAGCAATGGACAGCTGGTACCCCCGGTTTCCCAGATGGGGCACCATCAGCTCCCACCCAGCGGGCAGCCCGGCATCGCTCAAATGCCCCAGCCGCCGCTCTCCCAGGGCCCCCCGCCGCCGAGTCAACAGCAGCAGGCCGCCCAGTCCACCCGCTGGGTGCCCCCGCGGAACCGGGCCAACGGATTCGCGGACAGCGGCGGGACCGGAGTGGGCCAGTCGCCTCCCGCCTCCTCCGGGGTGGGTATGGTTGCCGGGGTGTCCTCTGAGCCTCACCCAGTCTTAGAGAAGTTGCGTATGGTCAACAACTACAACCCCAAGGACTTTGACTGGAACCCCAAGCAGGGTCGCGTGTTCATCATCAAGAGCTACTCGGAGGACGACATCCACCGCTCCATTAAGTACAACATCTGGTGCAGTACGGAGCACGGCAACAAGAGGCTGGACGCCGCCTACCGCTCACTGGGCGCCAAGGGGCCGCTCTACCTGCTGTTCAGCGTCAACGGCAGCGGGCACTTCTGCGGCGTGGCCGAGATGCGCTCGGCCGTGGACTACAACACGTCCGCCGGCGTGTGGTCGCAGGACAAGTGGAAGGGGCGCTTTGACGTGCGCTGGATTTTTGTCAAAGACGTTCCCAACAGTCAGCTGAGACACATCCGGCTAGAGAACAACGAGAACAAGCCGGTGACCAACTCTCGGGACACGCAGGAGGTGCCGCTTGACAAGGCCTGGCTGGTGCTCAAGATCATCGCCGGCTACAAACACACCACCTCCATCTTTGATGACTTTTCACACTACGAGAAGCGTCAGGAGGAGGAGGAGTGTGTGAAAAAGGTAATGTTGACCCCCGGAAGACACTGAAACGTGAACTTATGTGGAAGCTTAGATATTAGAAGCAGATGTGTGCAAGTGTAGCATGTTACCTCGCGATAGCTAATCAGTACTCCTCAGTCGTTTGAGCAGTCATTCATTATGTTCAAGTCCAATCTTTGTCAATGAAATGAAAGGTACTCGGATCATTTTTAAATTTGTCTGTCAAATGAACTCCAGTGAATCCTCCCTTGTTCACTCTTTGAGAATTTCCCTATTCACCTGTCTACCTGGAAGCGTAGTCTGGGTTGTTGACACGATGGAGCGTGTTCACAGCATGTGCATGCAGATTTGCGGTGCATTTTAATTCAAGTCATCAGTTTGTTTTTCAGGCTTATGGGTTTGTAATAATAGTGTTTTGGTGTCACAGTTTGTAAAAATATTTCCCATAATGTCGACTACTACGGACAGCAGTACTGTACATCCATATAGTAACACACTCATAATTGGAGCCTGTGTTTGAATGCAGTTGAAATGTTTGAACATAGGAAAGAAAGTTCATAAAGCATACCTGAGTTCTGAATAAGTTATGGCAGGGGTGTCAAACTCAACTTCTGTGCTTGCCGCTGGAGTCAGTCTGGGCTGCATTGAATCATGCCCCCCCCCCCCTCCAAAAAAAAAGAAGTGGTTCAATTATTAAATAAAGTCATTAGGGTTGCAACTATCATGTTTTGGAAAATCAACTTTTGTTTTTTTTTTTAAAGTCACGTTTTCTTCAGAGACTGAGATTTTGGGCTATTTTATGAGACAAAGTGATGTCACAACCACAGTCACGATTTTGTCAGCTGAAACAGCATATTTGAGTAAGGCCCGTTTGTTTGAAAGGAAAAAAAAATCAGTACTGCAGCGGTGCCAGGCTCTCAGTGCAGAGTAATTTTTGGCTCTTAACCAAACTTTGAAAAGATGGCCAACTTTTCTTGCTTGCCTATATCGGGCACTTGATTAGCGGCTAAATGCTAACACTGGCAGCCAGCACTGTATGTCACTGTCAGTGTTTATTTATTTATGAGTGCCCTTAATTAGCAATTGAACATGATTTTGTGTTGACATCGGTGTGCGACAGTTTTTGACGGCAATATTGGTTACTGTCGGGAATATGAGTCAAGACAGCCGCCACGCCAGCATTCGCTGCCAGGCACAACTTCAGAATAAAAGCCTACCAAGACATTGATGTCCATGTATTCCTTGGTGAGCTAAGATTTATTTTGAAGTTGTCCTCACCTCATGCTACCGTCATGCATAGCAAAAACAAATAATGACCGCCTCCCCGAAGGTGCACGCAAAATAAACGGATTCTTGGGAGGCAATGAAAAAAATTCTGCGAGCATTTGTTTTCATCGAGGTACTCGACAATTGCGCATCTCACCGCTACAGTTAATCCAGTCTTCTCAATTCTTTAAGAACAGTTTGGAACATTGGTTGTAGAAGATTGGTGACCCAGTTCTCTCGCTCATCCCCCCGATACTTTGCATACTCCTCAAGATGTCTAGCCGAGTAATGGCATCTGATTTCTTAAGCACTGCAACTTCCTCAGTTCATTCAAGACACGTTGGGGAGCCCCTGTACTCAACAAACACTCTGTCCTCTTCTTTTTGCCACCAACCACGTCACGGCATGTTTTGAACAAGACATGACTGGGGATTGGGTGACAGAATATCTTTTTCTGCCACATGGTGTCACTTCAGAATTATGTTTCGCAAAGCTGTCATGAGCCCGAGCTATAGTAGCCCATAAGCGGGGTGGGGGGGGGGACGCAAATGTTCCCCAGGCTGCGAGTTTCAGTCGGTTGAAAGTATAAAACTTTTATACAGGGGGCATCAGTTGATCCAAGTCCTTGCAGGTGACATTTTGAGGTTACAAAACGTGTGCAATTAGTGACTTGGCACCTTGGCGTAAGAATGTCCTCACGAGGCACACGTTTCGAGTGACTTTTTTTTGAATGGGCTAGGAGTGCTCTTCACACAAAATATTTACTGTAATTATGACTTGACTATTTTGTTCCCGATAGAAATTCAGGTTTCGCTGCTGTCGTAATAGCAGGGCTTCTTTGGAAATTGCAGAACCCCTCCCCCCGTAGTGTGTAGGGTTACTTTCTCCTCCCGCTTTTTGATACATGTGCTCATGTACAAGTCTGGTAGGAACAGATCAGGTTTTTTTTTTTTTTTTTTGTCGAAGCCTCTCCAAGTTGGATTCAGTGCAGGCAGTATTTGAACACCATTCCCCAGAGGGTTTCACTCACCTTGACTGAACTCTAGGCACCATTTTTTTTTTTCTCTCAATGAAATATTCAATTTTGATGTCACAATTTCACAATTAGGAGCTTGGAGATGGTTAGGGGACAAAGGCAAACTGTCAATGTTGCTTAGTGCTATTTTGACACTTGAAGGGGTTATGTCAAGTTTAAATATTAAGTGGCCTTGAGTGAAAACCAGAAATGGCTGCCTGCGCTGTTCATTTCAGGCTCAAAATGAAAATGGGGGGAAAAAAAGAAAACATTAATGGAAATTGTTTTGGTTATGTTGTGAATCATTTGGCATCAGCTTCACATTAACCAAGGAGTCGTGGTTCCACTCATCATATTTTGTGCATCCTGGAATGTTTCTTCCGGGCAGCCTCATGATGCAAATTTGGTACACCATTTTGATATCATAAAGTAGTGCTCAATGGAGTTTTGTATCTGTTTGTTTCTCTAACGCTTGAAGGCCAGAATCCAGAACATGAGACACTCTTCAGTTTTCAAATGCAAACATTTCTTTGTATTTTCTGGTGAACGTCGCCGCCTCGAAGCAAATGCAGTGACGGAATTTGCTTCATACACACTCCACAATTCAACGTCTCCAAGTTGACATCCAGCACAAATAATCGACAAATGTTTCATTTCATTTTGGATTGCTTATATGATTGGCAACATATTCGAAACTGCCCTCATGAAGCGTTGCAGTTGGACACTACCGCAAACTATCACCCCATTCTGACGATTAAAATAGTACCTTGCATCAAAATGTTTAATAGGAGGTCGTTTGTCTAAAGTATTAGCTGTGGCTTTTGTTGAAATACTTTTCTTGGGTATATTCGAGCAGTAGGTTACTGACGTGCTACCAATTTTATTGATGACATGCTTGAAGAGTTCCTCAGTTGCATTGCGATTGCCATTTATCGTCTCAAAGTTTAGTATTTCAAAACATTTTGAGGTTTAAAAATAGGAGCAATTGTTTGAAAGGTTTTTTTATTCACATCTTAAACTTACACTAATACTAACGCTTTTTAGTAGAGCCTGGTGGAGTGTGCGCTGGAGTTTTATTTATTTATCCTCCCCTGGAAGTTTGGCTTACTTCAAATATTATGGGATACTTTTGTCGAATTTACTGTACACATCAAGCTTTGCTCGGTTTCATTGAGTTTTGAATTGTGAGCCAGTGATCAAAGTGGTCATCTGTTTTCCACTTGGTGTGTTTTTATGGCAGGTGGAGGTCCAAGGCAGCGAGCCATATCCCAGCAACCCAAACAGGAGTCATTACAGGCTGCAGGTAAAGTCATAGACTGATGTTACACTTGTCACGGAAGAACTGTTGAAACGATACGTTCCGAGAGGCTGCTCAACCTCAACTTTTTGTCCTCTGTGGAAATAAAAGCAAGCATTCAAACTGTAGCCATCATAAATCTGTCATTTCTGCACCACTGGTACTTGATGCAACATTTAAACCATCATTTGGGTTTGAAATAAACGAGCAGACGTACACCGCCACTGCTTCGCCAACTAAAATGACCGTTGTACTTTGGTTGACATGATGATGAACTCAAGTTTGTCATCGCTGGCATCGGTTGGAATCCTTTTGCCTTCAAAATTTTTTTTGTCGAAGCCTCTCCAAGTTGGATTCAGTGCAGGCAGTATTTGAACACCATTCCCCAGAGGGTTTCACTCACCTTGACTGAACTCTAGGCACCATTTTTTTTTTTCTCTCAATGAAATATTCAATTTTGATGTCACAATTTCACAATTAGGAGCTTGGAGATGGTTAGGGGACAAAGGCAAACTGTCAATGTTGCTTAGTGCTATTTTGACACTTGAAGGGGTTATGTCAAGTTTAAATATTAAGTGGCCTTGAGTGAAAACCAGAAATGGCTGCCTGCGCTGTTCATTTCAGGCTCAAAATGAAAATGGGGGGAAAAAAAGAAAACATTAATGGAAATTGTTTTGGTTATGTTGTGAATCATTTGGCATCAGCTTCACATTAACCAAGGAGTCGTGGTTCCACTCATCATATTTTGTGCATCCTGGAATGTTTCTTCCGGGCAGCCTCATGATGCAAATTTGGTACACCATTTTGATATCATAAAGTAGTGCTCAATGGAGTTTTGTATCTGTTTGTTTCTCTAACGCTTGAAGGCCAGAATCCAGAACATGAGACACTCTTCAGTTTTCAAATGCAAACATTTCTTTGTATTTTCTGGTGAACGTCGCCGCCTCGAAGCAAATGCAGTGACGGAATTTGCTTCATACACACTCCACAATTCAACGTCTCCAAGTTGACATCCAGCACAAATAATCGACAAATGTTTCATTTCATTTTGGATTGCTTATATGATTGGCAACATATTCGAAACTGCCCTCATGAAGCGTTGCAGTTGGACACTACCGCAAACTATCACCCCATTCTGACGATTAAAATAGTACCTTGCATCAAAATGTTTAATAGGAGGTCGTTTGTCTAAAGTATTAGCTGTGGCTTTTGTTGAAATACTTTTCTTGGGTATATTCGAGCAGTAGGTTACTGACGTGCTACCAATTTTATTGATGACATGCTTGAAGAGTTCCTCAGTTGCATTGCGATTGCCATTTATCGTCTCAAAGTTTAGTATTTCAAAACATTTTGAGGTTTAAAAATAGGAGCAATTGTTTGAAAGGTTTTTTTATTCACATCTTAAACTTACACTAATACTAACGCTTTTTAGTAGAGCCTGGTGGAGTGTGCGCTGGAGTTTTATTTATTTATCCTCCCCTGGAAGTTTGGCTTACTTCAAATATTATGGGATACTTTTGTCGAATTTACTGTACACATCAAGCTTTGCTCGGTTTCATTGAGTTTTGAATTGTGAGCCAGTGATCAAAGTGGTCATCTGTTTTCCACTTGGTGTGTTTTTATGGCAGGTGGAGGTCCAAGGCAGCGAGCCATATCCCAGCAACCCAAACAGGAGTCATTACAGGCTGCAGGTAAAGTCATAGACTGATGTTACACTTGTCACGGAAGAACTGTTGAAACGATACGTTCCGAGAGGCTGCTCAACCTCAACTTTTTGTCCTCTGTGGAAATAAAAGCAAGCATTCAAACTGTAGCCATCATAAATCTGTCATTTCTGCACCACTGGTACTTGATGCAACATTTAAACCATCATTTGGGTTTGAAATAAACGAGCAGACGTACACCGCCACTGCTTCGCCAACTAAAATGACCGTTGTACTTTGGTTGACATGATGATGAACTCAAGTTTGTCATCGCTGGCATCGGTTGGAATCCTTTTGCCTTCAAAATCTGAACTTTTCAGAAGGCAAAAAAAAAAAAAGCAAGTAAATTTGTTGTGACGTGAACATTACATCATTGAAGAGAACAACACAGTTTCAGTACTTTTTGTATTTGTAAAAATAACGTGTTTAGCCTGACCAATAGTACAGACTTGTGAACATTCAGCCATCCGTTTTCTGAGCCGCTTTATCCTCACAAGGGCCGCGGGGGGTGCTGGAGCCTTTCCCAGCCGTCTTTGGGCAGCAGGTGGGGGGACACCCTGAACCGATTGCTAGCCAATCGCAGGGCACACATAAGCGAACAACCATCCGCACTCACACTCAAACCTTGGGACAATTTAGAGTGTTCAATCAGCTTGCCATTCATGTTTTTGGAATGTGGGAGGAAACCGGAGAAAACCCACGCAGGCACGACGAGAACATGCAAACTTCACACAGGAAGGTCGGAGCTGGAATCGAACCCGATACCTCTGCATTGTAAGGTCGACGTGCTAACCACTTGTCCGCCAGATTTGTGAACAATTTGTGAAATTACATTTATCAGAGCGGCACTGTAGTCGACTGGTTAGCACGTCCGCCTCAGTGCAGGGTTCGGCTCCGGCCTTCCTGTGTGTGGAGTTTGCACGTTCTCTCCGTGCCTGTGTGGGTTTTCTCCGGGTACTCTGGTTTCCTCCCACATTCCAAAAACATACATTGCAGGCTAACGGAACACTCTAAATTGTCCCTAGGTATGATTGTGAGTGTGAATGGTTATTAGTCTACCTGTGCCCTGCGATTGGCTGGCAACCGGTTTAGGATGTACCCCCGCCTACTGCCCGAAGACGTTTGGGACACTCGTGAGTATAAGCAGATTAGAAAATGGATGGATGGATATTAAATTTACCGACTTTTGCCACTGGTGGTTTTGCCTGACTCCAGCAATATAGACTGCCGGTATGACCTGAAGTTTACGTGCGATCTTCGGCATATTTTTCCTGACAAATTGTATGGCAACATTACAAGTTGACGTTTTGTTTGTCCTTCCAGGATCGCCAGGGACGGATCAAGTAACAGTTGGTGCTTTTGTCAAAAGACTGCAAAGCCCCCCCGCCCCCCATCCGTCCCCCCTCCCGCCAGCCATTGCATCATCACATCCAACGTGTCTCTTTATTAAGAAATCCTGAAACTGAAGAAGGCTGAAGAATTAACAGCGGATGAGAATTAAAAACACAATGAAGACTTTCTTGATTTCTTTTGACTTTAAAGACTTACTTGGAACTCGTAGTTTAAAAAAACAAAACAAAACAAAAAGAGACAAACTATTATTCCTAGGACTACAACTTAATGCATAGCATCCTTAGGTGAACTCTTGTTTTGCCATTCCACTGCATACGCTTCTCCTCCGAACTTTTGTTTGTTTTTTTTAAATGAAAGCATCATCTTTTTGTTTCTGTTTTTTTGTTTGTTTGTTTTTTATGGTCCAAGAGCAGGTCTGTCACATTCAAATCAACATTTGCTTAAAATGGTCTCCCAAGTTCACGAGTGGGACTTCTCCTGTCATTTTTGCATTATGTTTTCTGAGAACACATGGAGACGCACGCACATTTTTCCCCCTATTCAGGAGGTCTTCATCACAGACGACCATGTTCTTAAAATGTCTGCCTCCCCCCTCTTTTTTTTGGGGTGCGGGGGTATCGTCCCTCTTCATCTATCTGTCTTATCCCTTGTTCTTTCTCCTGGAGGTGACATACAGAATAGTTATCATTTGTTTTGCATGCGTCAGGATGAATTGCGTCGAGGATGTTGTAAAGGGAGATGACAAAATGGGGGAGTGTGAAAGCAGCAGAAGAAAACCCGTTAAGTTGAGCCTTGCTCAGAGTATCTTTTAAAAGGGGCCCCGCGAACTAACAGCCTTCATTGGACTTAATTTGCCCGTCTTTTCTTTCCCTTGGACAGCTTGATTCATTGTTGCAATGGGCTGCTTTCTTTTTGGGGTTGTTTTGTTTGTTTTTGTTTTCTCCCTTTTCTAACGACAGCGATGCGAGTGGCCTTGCCGCCGCTCTTTCTATTAATCAGTTCCAAAGTAATAAATGTGGTATATTAAGCAGAACTGGTGTGGATTCCCCTTGTTTAATACTTAAAAACTGAAGAATGTCTTTGATCTACTATACCCGTCCAGCCCAAACATGACTTTCACCACCTTTCTCCTCTACTTACCTGGCCTACAGTATCTATACCACAACATTCCCCTCTTTCCATTTCTGACTGCTTACATAAGCCAATCGTAATGAAATTAGATTGTATTGTTTTGTTTTTTCTTCAGAATGGCGGTTTTGGGGAAGTTTCAACACAAAAAGCCAACATGCAAAGGTCCTCTTTAAGAACTACTGGCTTTTATTTGCGGTCTAAATAAAGATGCTCCACAAAATGTGTGCCTTTTTCATTTCTTCACACTCAGACCTTTTGGCTCATAACATACTGACGGGCCTGCTATCGCGCAAACACCGTTAATTTAATCCACAGAAATGTCTTCCTCTGCAATCCTTCATTTTTTTTCTGCCATTAAAGTTGTAGTTCACAAATTCACCTCAAGGGGGCAATATAGTATCAGACTTGAAGCTCTCAAACAGACTTGACCCTTTAAGCTAATTTGACAATGCTTGTACTGTATTTGGGCCTTGTGGTATCGCGAAAAAAATGGTCAAGTTAACCATTTATTTCTCCAAGGTTTGTGGCTCCAAGTTAGAGTATTCTATACTACTAAACTATAAATGTGTGTGAAATATTTTCTGAAAACTAAATGTGTTTCTCCTTGAGAAAGAACAACCATTTGAGGATGGTTCCTGATGCAAAACCCTCAAGTTGAGTAATTGATTTATCTTGTTCATTTTGAACCTTCTTTTTACATACGTATTTTATTGTAACCTTCCGAATTATTTAATGTTAACGAATGAATTCTAGTCAAAATAGTTCTTTCTGTTGTAATTGTTTGTATTGAATGGCCCGATTCAAAGAGCAAGATGGCCGCATCATTCTTCTTCCGGGTTTGTAATTAAGACAACCGTATCGCCAGCTGGCCACTGTTTTTTTTTTTGAAAAACGTCGTTAAAGCGCTATGGTAACGTGTTTTCGAAGTGGACCTTTACGAATCACTTTTAATTCATTTTTGCCATTAATTGTCTCGAAAGTCAATTCTAATCGTGATCAACATGGCAGTGTCGATGTGTTTGTTTTTTTTAATCGTGGTGGCGATGATCGCTCATGACAGCTCACACTTCCTGGATGTCTTCTCCCACACTACGGGTAAGTTTTAACTCCATTTTTTTGGGTCCACGGGAGGGGTTATCTGAGGACGCTGACGTGTGTGTTTAGACGGCGGGGAGGGTGGAAAAGGAGGGGGTGGGGGTGGGGGTGTTAAATTAATAAAATTCGTTAGGCGACCTACAGAAGACAAGGCAAACGCAAATTAGCATTCTTTTTTTACCATTCAAAATCAAATGCATTTCTATATATTTGCGTTTGATGTACATTCAACATTTTTTGTACTTTACATTAATAATTTAATACTTAATTCTCAGCTACTCAAATCATAAAGATTTACATTTAATACTGTTATCTCATGTTAACCCCCTTCCCAAATATATATATGATCATTGTGTGTGTGTGTGTGTGTGTGTGTGTGTGTGTGTGTGTGTGTGTGTGTCGATTATGATGATCTTTGGTTGTAACCATTTCCAATAAAATGGCCGCCAACTTCAATGTATAATTGCATTCATCTTTGCATAATCTCTCAAAATCATCCAGCGACCGAGGTCCTCTCCTCTGCACTCTCCTCTTGAGCTCACTTCCCTGATTTTCAATTGTGTTCAAGTCTGGGGACTGAGATGGCCATGGAAGGAGCTAGATTCTCTGTCTGTCGAACCATTTGTACAATTTTCAGTATGAGCCTATGCTTCTGCAATAAAAAATGCATGCATTTTAACTTTTAACACAGGGCTTCCGTTAATTGTGGAGGGCACTATGTATTTCTCACCGCAATAAATGTGCACGCCTTGAACACTTGAGTCCAACGTAATGCTCACTTTTGATTGGCTCTTGTGTTGTTGTGCTCAGAGTTGGCCCGCTGTCAAGTTGAGAGGTGTACTTCATATTTTGGTTACGCCAGTTGTAATGAGCATCTCTCGATATTTTGCTTGGCATTGTTCCCAGCTAGTTAGTGTGTGTCTGTGTGGCAAGAAAATGTCCATGTCTTTTTGAGCGTGTGTGCACGAGGTACAACCCTAAGTTAGTGATCACACCTTTATATTGGGGATGTTTGTTTTTCCGGGTACATCTTAACTCCGCACACAAGAAAAATGCTAGGATGAGCTCCTTTCACCCTGTTAATATTAGTTGTTGTACACACAGAAGTGTGTGTGTGTGTGTGTGTGTGTGTGTGTGTGTGTGTGTGTGTGTGTGTGCGGTTCCAGGCTTGGCACCGCAAGGTCATGCTTGTGCTTCATTGTGCCTTCATTATCATAAGGCATCCATCTCTTTCTTCCATTAGTGATGCTTCGCCATGTCGCCTGCGCCGACCTCTATTTACATGACTAAATTAGATTGATTTGACTCTGCTGTGTGTGTGTGTGTGTGTGTGTGTGTGTGTGCAAACATAGGTCTTCCAACAAATGAATAATATTGATAATTGATAATTGATGTAAATATTAATGAAATATGTATTATTTCATTTATTCCGGATAGAATTGAGAAGTGCTTGAAGTGGTTAGTTTTAAATGTGTCTAGTATTGGGTGTGGGGGCGGGGGGGGGGGGGGCATAATATTTTACTAAAATGCAGTTACTGCATAAAACCACGTAAATCTTTTCTTTTTTGGAACATCAATAGTTTGTCGTCTTTTGAGTAAACGAAGACACATCCAAGACGAATCCAACACTTTGAATAGTTTGGACCTATGCTACAAGAACACCAATGTTAGGCTATATGTTATTGCGATATACAGTGGTACCTTGACATATTGATGTTGTCCAAATCATTATTCTCTATTGAAATGAATTGAAATCCAATTAATCCGTTCCATCCACCCAAAACACAAATTTATAAAATAAAGAAAACCAGCACTCTATTGTGTCAAAACCTAACCAAAGAGAACACAGTATAAATAAATAAGATGGTCTTATAAAGCGTGCATGAACCCGAGCCGTGCACATTTACAGGGGGCGTGGCCCAGCAGGTGCCGTGGGCGTGAATTTTTGAATTTGTGTGTTTAACTGTTTGCACTGTTTAATAAATGGAGGGAATGCGGCGGCGACTGTGACGTCTAAACTGAAACGTCTCGTAAAGCATGACAACGATGAAGCGATGACAGTCAAAGTAATTTTTAGGTTTTATTCCTTTTGAGGAAAAATGTTTACATTGGACGCTATTTTAATGGTAACGTCATGGATACAGTTCATTTTGCTGTATTTTTCTAGCTCGATACTTAGTTTTTCTGTCGACATTACTAGAAAGATTGCGATGTATCATAAATGGTTTTCCTTTAATATATCATTATGTAACAAGGCAATGTGTTAAGAGCCCCAAAAGTCAGGTTATTTCCCCCTTAAGGACAATATTTTGCATTATATTATACCTCAGAATGCAAAACATCGGTGCTCCTTAACAATGGCAATAATAATGTGTCATGATGATTTATGGTAGTAGTGGGGGGGGCTGTATATATTATTACATATGGGGTCACCTGCTGTCTAACAATCCCCCCCTCCACTTTTCATTTCGACAGAAAGGAGGTGGGGGTGCCCCAATTCTATAGAGCCGCTGTGCATAATGCGCAGACAGTGAGCAAGATGGCGGCTTGTGGGGGAGAAAAAAAAAAAAAAAAAGCAGTTGATGACCTCGCCGCACTTGCCCTTCCGCACGCGCTCATTGTGTGCGCCTCAAAAGGGGCGTCAGGAAATCACAACATAAAGGCCAAAGCGCTGCAGTGAATGCAAGCGCACCACTCTATTGTGCGTTGAATGCTTTCGTGTTAGAGGATTGACAGCAAAGTGCAAAGCTGCTTGGCCCATTTCCTAAAAAAAAAAAAAAAAAAAAAAAAAAAAAAGGTCGTAAATGTAATCTACTAAAAACATGGCATATTGAATTGATTAAAAATAGATTGGGGGGGTCTTAAAATTATTGTAGGATCAATAAAAAATTTGTTGTTGCTATTTTTAGAAGAGTTCTGCCAAAGTTTGATTTCATTTTAGGAGGGCAAGTTGGCCACATCAAACGCTACTGCGGGCTGAGTGTGGTCCACCGACCGTAGGTTCAAAGAGCATGCTAATGAGCACTATACTTGTACAAATTAACAAACTAAATGCATTTTTGCTTTAATTGCTTCTTTTTTTTTGCATTAAAAAACAAAGAAATGGAAATTTGATGCATGAAATGATTTCTTTATTGGGATTTTTTTTTTTTTACATCAAACCACACAAAAATTATCATGAAATGACAAAGGTGCATACCCAAAAAGTCAAATAAAAAGCATGTATCTTTAAATTCTTTTTTTAAAATTTTGTTAAACATGGATTGAAATACACGTGAGTCAAAATCGATTTTTTTTAATTATTGAATTACTTCAAATATTATTCTCAATTTTATTGTTGATTAGAAATACATTTTTTTATTTTACATATATTCTTAGCATTTTCTCTCATATTTTTCTCTCAATTAAAACTGAAAACTCACAAAATTTGGAGGTGCATGTTTTCCATTGCGACAATTTACATTTTCGCGCATGTTACAAATAAACCGGCCTTATTTTTCTTCGCATAGCGTTAATTTTTTTTATTTTTTATCCTGTTTGCCACTTCTAACCTTGTTGTGTCATTACAAGTCCAGCAGGCATTGGCAGACCTTCAAACTGTCCCGCTGTCACCACATGCCACCCCGCTCTCACCCCTACCTGCGACCCCTCTGCCCACTTGGCCCGAACTGCGAACCCGGTTCTGACGGCAACATGACCATTTCAGTGTCTTTCACGGTACCGACCGGTATTCCCGCATCAAAGCCGCTTAACCTTCACTGCGCCTTTTGTGTGCCGCGTCCCGTGGGCGGCCAATACGGACGTGACTTCCCGCCGTCAGGTGAGCGAAGACTGTGGCTTCTCTCTTGGCATTCACCGCGTGCCTTAATTGTATTGAAATTAAATCAAGGTCCACTGTGAACACAAAGAGCTCAAACCAAACACCGGAACCTCGTTGACGTTACTCGCCGTTGATCCATCGGGACGACGTACATGAGCAAGTACGGCGGGGGCGGGAG